TTATAACCCATTACTATCACTATCATGTTACAAGTAAGAACTTGTAAGGAAAGTATTTTTGAAATGTTCATACATTGTGATTATCAAAAATTCAAATGACCTATAACTATACGCTGAAAAAAATTTCTCTTCCACTTCTATATCCTGGGTATCCATTTCCATTGTGATGAGTTTATTTTTATTCTTCCAGAAATATTAAAAGGGTTCGGAAAAGAGTCATTAATAAAAATCACCAGATTCTCAAGTATTATTTTTACCTGGTTTCTGATAATACCTACTGATTGATTTACTGTTGCATCTTCAGCTATTTTCGATGAGTATTTCTTAACCATCAAATTTTAATTTAAATTTTCATACAGTGCGTATTATATGGAAACAAGGACTGGTTTCCCCTGAGTATTCTAAATGAAATGACTAGAAGGCAAAATTTTTATTAAATTATACTTGATATTTAATTTATTAACATAGTTTAAAAGTAACTAACCTCCAAACAAAATTCAATTTATATGAGAAAGAATACCTATTCCAATTAAATAATAGGTTTTTAGTGTATTCACTTTAAAAATATCCTTTCCCCCATTCTGTTCTTTTTTTTTTTTTCTTCTGGTAGCCTATTTTCCCTTATATGTACACCAGCAGTGTCCATGTACTCATTCAGGAAGCTGGGAGTGAACGGAGGTTACAAAAACTGGTTTTTGGTGTCACCAGCAAATTGGTGAACTTACTCTAGTACAGCTAGTAATACACCAAAAGTTGGTTTATTCCATTTTTTTCTTTCACATTCTCTAATTATTATCTCTTAAAGTGAATTTTAAGATTCTTATTTCAGGAATTCCTTTATGAAACTGTAAATAAAAGGTGGTTGGACTTACTGTTACCTTGGACCAATTTTTTAAATCTTTGAGCATTATTAGTATTATTAATATTATTACAGTATTCTTCAGATTCTGATGAGGATCAGGTCATAATTCATATAAATTATTTTAGCATGGTGGAATTGCTCATACAGTAAAAAATATTAGCTAGGTCTCTGGGGATTTTCTTTTAGATTTGGGAGTCAGTGACTTAATCCTTATTATAATTTTGTATAGGGAATTCAATAATATGTGCAGCATTTTGACTTAAAGTACTTCCTATTCTCCAAATGAGAATATCTTTATTTGCTAAGTGATAACAAAAAAATACTCACATAATAATGTGAAAGCTAAATAGTTCCTGTAAATCCATCTCTCAGAGATGACTGTTAATAGTCATTACATCTTTACAGTTGACATATAACATTAGTTTCAGGTGTACAACATAGTGATTAGGCATTTATATAACTTACAAAGTGATCACCCTGGTAAGTCTAGACCAGACTGACATTTCACAAAGTTATTACAACATGATTGACTGTATTCCCTATGCTGAACTTTACATCCCCACGGCAATTTGTACTTGTATTAATTCCTTCACTCCCCCACCCCCAAGTCTGGCAACCATCTATTTGTTCTCTATATGAATTTGTTTCTGTTTTGTTCGTTCATTTATTTTGGTTTTTAGACTCCACATGTAAGTGAAATCATATGGTATTTATCTTTCTTTGTCTGACATTTCACTCAGCATAATATCCTCTAGGTCCATCCATCATGTTGCAAATGGCAAGATTTTATTTTACTTTTTACTAGGGGCCCAGTACACAAATTTGTGCACCTTGAAAGAAACTGTGGGTTGCGAGGCTGCAAGTAGGCACAGGGGTGGGTCTTGGCCCATCCTCCACACTCACACCTGGTCCCTCCCACCACAGCCCCTGGTCCCCTTGTCTGCCGGCAGCCCAGCTCCTGCCGCCGCCACTCCCACGCACTGAAGGTGCCGGCCCCACTCACACCCGCTGACAGTGTGGAGCGATCAGGGCTGGCACCAGCAGCAGGTGTGAGCCATGGCTGCTGCCCCGATTGCCCCTCAGGAGCAGGGGGAGGTGGAGAAGCCGTCAAGGGCGATCCAAGCCAGCAGCCGCTGCTCTCACTCACTGATGGCGCCGAGTGAGTGGTGGTCCCAGCTGCGGGTGCGAGCGGGGCCAGAGTTGGCACTGGGTGCGAGTTGCAGCTCCAGTGCCAGCAGCAGGTGCAAGCGGGGCCGGGACTGGCAGCAGGTGTGAGTGCCAGGCGGGACTGCTGTGCGCAAGAGCAAAGAATTTTCAGTGACCACCAGAGGCTCGCCCTTATGACAGCGACTGGCGGAGCCTCGCCTTGGGCTGGCACCCCCACTCATCTGCACCACCATACCACTGTGGCCAACACCCGCCATATTCCATGCATGCCCCCTGGTGGTCAGCGCATGTCAGAACGACCGGTTTTTGGTTGTTACGCTGTTTGGTCTATTTGCATATTAGCCTTTTATTATATAGGATGTCAGTCATATCCCATTGTATATATGTACCACTTCTTTTTTATGCATTCATTTATTAATGGACACTTAGGTTTCCATATCTTAGCTATTGTAAATAATGGTACAGTGAATATAGGAGTGCCTATCTTTTTTAATTAATGTTTTGGATTTCTTCAGATATATACCCAGACATGGAATTGCTGGGTCATATGGTTGTTCTATTTTTAGTTTTTTGAGGTGTAATAGCTTTGTTTGTTTTCTTAATCCTCACCCGAGGATACTTTTTCCATTGCTTTTTACAGAGTGGAAGGGGAGAGGAGAGGGAAAGGGAGAGGGAGAGAGAGGGGGAGAGAGAGAGAGAGAGAGAGAGAGAGAGAGAGAGAGAGAGAGGAAGAAAGAGAGAAAGGGGGAAAGAGGTCAATTGGTTGCTTCCTGCACTCCGTGGGGATCAAACCGGCAACCTAGGTGCTTTGGTTTACTTTCTAACCACTGAGTAATACCAGCTAGGGCGAGGTGTGCATATTCTAAATAGTGCATATTCTCTAAGAATCTTTTTTTTTTTTAACTTCTCTGTGTCTATCTAAAAATACACATACTTAGTATACATTGAATCATTCATTAGACATGTTTTTCTGTAACTTTTGAGTTTTGTTTTTGTTTTGTTTTTTCAGGAAAATGCAGCTACTGTTACATAACTTTCAAAAACATAAAACAGCTCCTGAGAACAGTCATGGAAATAGGATAGACATTTTTATAAGACTTGCTGTTTCACATTTTTTATGTGAAATATATCAACAGTTTTGCACAATTGTTGATTTTGAGTTTAAAGGAGGGCCATGAAGTTGAATTTCACTCTAGTTTTTCTTTTTGTGCTTATAGTTCTGAAGTACAAACAGTTTAACCTAAAAATAAGGTCCCATCTAGAGAATTATTGATAGCTTTTTTTTCCTTGCCACTTTCAATAAGTAGTTACCTCAAAGTTAAATCAGATTTAATTTATTCTGTTGTTTGAGTAAGCAAAACATATTCCACTAAATAGTGCATATTCTCTAATAATCAGCTTTTTAATGCATTTGCTTTCTGTACCTTGTGAATATGGCTTTTTAAAATGAGCACAGTGAAGTTATGCTATTCTATAGGTTTTGCTATGCTCAAAATATCTTTAAAACTTTTCCCAGTATTTAGTAAACCCTGAATTAGAGGTTTCTTTTAACAGAAGAGAGCTGTGTTGACTAAGGGCATATGACAGCACTATGTAGTGGCAATTGTTCTGTGGTTATAAATACACCCTATATTTTTATGTTAATATTTAATGAATATCATGTAAATAGAGACTAATACGACTAAAATAACTAAAATCTCTCTTTGCTCTTTGTGGAAGTGTGCCAGGTTAGTGTCCAACGAGAGATGAATTGCAATAGTGGGGAAATAATAGAGCTCATTTAAATTTCAGTGGAAAAGGTGAAAGCTGGCATTTTAACTTTGCTTATAAAATTTACACTATGAACATCAAAGCATAGATATTTTTATAAATAGTTGGCTCTTATTTTATTGCAGAAATTAATGGAAAATGTGAAATTTAAAAACACAATAATGGTTAAATGATACCATAACTTTTTCATTATAGCTCCAGCTGTATTACAGTGATGTAAATTTTTTAATGGATTTAAGTGTAAGGCACAAAGAAATCAGATAGATGCCCAAATATATCTATAACATCAGAATAGCCAGTTGAGCAATTAGAGTTAGCTGCCGTAACATTGAGTACATGACATGTTTTGTATGAAAATTTTTTCAGTTTTAAAACAGTCATCGTTTAATTTGGGATGTTGCAAATCCTAAAAATGGTACTTTCATGCATTTTATTTGTATATCATTGATAGTTTTTTATTTATTACTGAGCTAGTTAATATTTTTATTATTTCTCAATTCTTATTTTCTTGATTTAAATTTGTTGAAAAATTCTAAGCCAGAAAGTGAAATAGGGCCATGTTTTACTCTTTTTACCTAGTCTTCCAACATTGCAGTATTGAATTTATGCAGTTATTATCTATGTGGGAAATGACTACTTAATTTTATCAGTTAGATTTCTTACCTTATATTTTCCTATTCTATATTATTCATGTTATCTTGAATTGTGACATTGTACTTTTCCATAGGTCTGTTAGTTAATCAATAGTTCATATTTTAAAAGGATGTGTAAAATTTTAAGGTGGCAAAGGATAGGATACACATACAATAATTCAGAAACAATAGAAGAGTGGTGGTGATAGAAAACCAAAGGCAGAAATGAGCTTGAGGCTTATGAAATGCAAGAATGATTTTGGAACAAAGCTTTTACTTAAATTCGTAGTTAGGTGAATTAAGGGGAAGGAAAAAGGCTCACAGCAGATGATGTAGATTAACAGGTCACAAAACAGAACTGTGCAGTGACTGTTTTCCCTTCTCTAAACAGAATTTATTTACCGATAATTGAGCTTTAGTTTGCAAAAGGACAAACATCAAGATAATTAAAGCAGAGAAATATGACTAGACAGTAAGTAGCATAAGTGAAACAAAGTTTTAGTCCTAAACAAAAATTTAGTTTTCAGGACATTGAGATTTGAAAAAATATGATGACTGTTCAAGAAAACATGGAAATATTAGAGGAGCTGAATGGTGGAAAGGTGACTATTCTCTAAAACTGAAAAATTTATATTCTAAACTTGATGACACAACCCGTATATTCTAAAACAGATTATTTCCTGTTTAAACTGATAGATCTGGAAGGAGGTTCAGGTCCTAGTGTGGCTTCAGATTTTTGTCAGGTAATTGATAAGTTGTGCCTGCATTTTAGCATGCAGGTTAGAGAGAAGTGTGTGTTCAATGAAATTGCAGTTAGTTGGATCCTAGACTCAGAATAATCATTCCTAAAGAATGTCAACTGATAAGATTAACTTAAGTCTGAAGGGCTATGTCTAGTAGAAAAGAACCACAAACATGTTTTTAATTGACTCAGTAGGTATGCATCCGTGGAGGCAGAATTGTATCGATGGTGGAGGCTTGGATTGGGACCACCACCAGCATGTCAGCAGTGTTATGTGCTCAGCAAAGAGTATAGGGATTCTTGAATGCACTGGAAGGTGGGATATTTGGGACTGGAGGGTAGGCAACCTCAGTCTTCATACCTATCAGTTGTTAGGGAAGGCTGTATGGCATACAGGATTTTCTATATTAAAAGGGACAAAGACAAATTAACCATCTAGATATCTAACCATCTAGGTGTCTAGATGAGTGGGAGGGTATAAAACCATGCTATTATGCAGGTTAGAGAAGAAGACACTAGATATTACAGAACTCTTCAAATATTTGTAGGACTGTCATATGAAAGAGGCATTTGACCTATTTTATGAGCTTTGGAGAATTGGGGTGGGAAGAAAGTTTAGGAAAGATTTTGGTTCCGTAAAATAAATTTGTAACATTTAAGAGCTTCAGAGATGCCTAAAACAAAATCGTCTTGATCTTAGAGATATTTTTGGGTCAGTGTAGTGTGGATTTTTACTTACCTATTTTTAAACTTGGGAAAATGCTGATTTATTAATGGGAAAGTTTTTTTTTAACTAAAATTTATTGGGGTGTCATTGGTTAATAGGATCGTACAGGTTTCAGTTGTAGATTTCTATGATACAAGATCTGTATGTTGGTTGCACTGTGTGCACATCACCCAAAGTAAAATCTTCAGTCACCATATATTAGACCCCCTTCAGCACCCCAGCCCCCTTCACTCTGGCAACCACCATACTGCTGTTTGTGTTCACGAGTTTCAGTTTTATATCTCACGTATTAGTGAAATTATATGGTTCTTAGCTTTTTCTGACTGGCTTATTTCACTTAGCATAATATTCTCAAGGTCTATTCATGTCACAAATGGCAAAATTTTTATACTAGGTGAGTAAACAAAAGTTTCTGAACTTTCAGTTCTCTGAACCACAGCTGCGGTTTGAAGTAGGTAGTGAGTGTGGAGATGAGGGAACATTTGAGCATTGTCATGTTATGTTTGATGTAACAGAAGAACATATGAAACATACTAATTTTGAAGCACTCCTGTGTTTCATAAAGAAGCATCTGTGAATCCACCACCTATGAAGGAATTAGAGTGTCACCCATACTCATGACATGCCTTTTTGACTGTGATTATATCACTTGATATCAACATAAACCAAAGCTCTGACCACCAGGACTTAATAGAATGAACAATTTTGGAGACAGAACTTTTTAAAACATGAGGGGAAATAAATGGAGTATTTGTATACGGAGGTTGGAAACCAGTGGATTCAACTGAGTCACTCAGAAAGCAACCTCTAATTACTAGTATATGAGGTACAGGCACATAAAGGTTAAATAAGAAACTTGTTTAAAATCACACAAGCAGTTGCTCTTAGAACTCAAACCAAAACTTGTTCTAACTTGAGTGTTATAAATACCATGCCAAGAAGTGCTAATGATTTTCTGGCTAGAAAGTTGCTGTTAATAAAGGGTAATACTCATTCTCAACTGGTGAGATCCACGATGCATTGGATTGTAAATTCCTTGAGAACTAGCACTGTCTTAGTCATCTTTTATGTACTGTTTCATATAGAATTTGTGTTCAGTTATTATATTGAGTGATATATTGTAGGGACTGAAAGAAACATGGTAAAAAGACTTGATCTTAAGAAAACAGAATTTTAATTATACCGAGTGTGCTTTTGCTTTACATGACTCCTTGTCATTAGAAAAATATCAGACTTTCTTTCCTCTTGACTTCTTTCTTGACCCTAATACCTGCCCTAGTTGATGACTCCTGCTTTTGTGCTACCACTGTCTCTGTGCCCTTACTGTTCAGAGAGGCGTTAGGTTATCTGTTTGTTTATACGCCTTTCATATTATATACCTTTCACATTAGACTAAGTTCTTTGAGAGCGGGAACCCGTGACTTGTTTTACTTCAACGCCCTACCTAGTTCATTCCTCCCTTCATTCACCCACCTATCCATCCAATCTACTGAGTAGTAATTGAGGACCCAGCCCACTATGTTCCAGGCAGGATTCTAGAAGCTGGGAAGACAGAGGGTAACAGAGTCTCATGGAACTTTCAGTTATTAATAAAAGAGTCACACAAATGTTTATAGAAATATAGCTTAAGTTGGAAATATGTCTTCCATTATATCATCTAGTTCAGGGGTGGGCAAACTTTTTGACTCGAGGGCCACAATGGGTTCTTAAACTGGACCGGAGGGCCGGAACAAAAGCATGGATGGAGTGTTTGTGTGAACTAATATAAATTCAAAGTAAACATCATTACATAAAAGGGTACAGTCTTTTTTTTTTAGTTTTGTTCATTTCAAACGGGCCGTAGTTTGCCCACGGCTGATCTAGTTGGATATGTGAAGGTTACTGGGTTTTGTATGTTTATTTTTTTAAAAAAATAGGTATTTTTATTGATTTCAGAGAGGAAGGAAGAGGGAGAAATGGAAACATTAGTGGTGAGAGAGAATCATTGATTGGCTGCCTCCTGTATGCCCCCTACTGGGGATTGAGCTGGAAACCCAGGCATGTTCCCTGACCAAACTTTGACTTCTTGGTTCATAGGTCAGCAATCAACTATTGAGCCACACCGGCCGGGCGCTTTATGTGTTTTTTAATCTAGGCATCTGAATTTTCTCATTTATAATTGATTCTCTTGTGTGTTATAATTTGATAAAATGTTTACCTGGAAAATCATTCCCCCTCTCAAACTATTGTAGTACTGTGGGCAGTTCAAAAAGAGTATTTAAATGTAATAAACTAATACTGAAGGTGCTTTTGTATAGAGACTGGGACCAAAGGATATATGTTTACTTTTAATTAGATTAAAAAATTTTAATTCCTTTTGGTTAAATACTTGTTGTAATTACCTAAGCAATATTTACGTTTCACCTGTTACTTGGTTGTTGAACACTTGATTAGAGAATGACTGTCATATGCTAATTTAAGAAATACACTAACTTGGTACCGGCCCTCTTTAGGAAAGATTGTATGAAACTGGAAATAAGTAAAACAAATAATTGAGATCTTGTCCTTATAATATAGTTCAATCCAGGATACCTTCTTTTGATTTTTTATGAAAATTTCATTTGCTTTCAGAAACAAATATTTGTTTAGCTCTGATAGGCAAATTGTTTTTAAGAGAGAAAATCTGTTATAAAATGAATATTGCCATCATTGAAGTAGAAACTGTATTAGAGTAGTGTTTTCACTAATGAAGACTTAATGACTAAATAAGAACACTTTCGATAATGCCTTTTTGCTGTGTTAGATTTTATTTAGCTGAAAGTGATTTTAAATAAAGAAAGAAAATTAAAGTGATATTTGATAGTTCCTTAATAACAATATATTGAAATTCCATGTTTGGAAAACAATAAAGTACATTTTAAAAATTAATAAAAAGGATTGCATTTTTAAATCCTACTGGACACAAACCTTTTCCCCAAGGAGGTTATAATCTATAGCAGCTGTGGGCAAACTACGGCCCGCGGGCCTGATCCGGCTGTTTGAAATGAGTAAAACTAAAACTAAAACAAAAAAAAAAAAAAAGACCGTTCCCTTTTATGTAATGATGTTTACTTTGAATTTATATTAGTTCACACAAACCCTCCATCCATGCTTTTGTTCCGGCCCTCTGGTCCAGTTTAAGAACACATTGTGGCCCTCGAGTCAAAAAGTTTGCCCACCCCTGAGAGATGGTTACAGCTCATTTAATAATGACAACCCTTATTATTGGGTACCAGTGGTCAGGAGCCTCTAGCACAGTGGTTCTCAACCTGTGGGTCGCGACCCCTTTGGAGGTCGAACGACCCTTTCACAGGGGTCGCCTAAGAACATTGGAAAACACATATATAATTACATATTGTTTTTGTGACTAATCACTATGCTTTAATTATGTTCAATTTGTAACAATGAAATTGGGGGTCACCACAACACGAGGAACTGTATTAAAGGGTCGCGGCATTAGGAAGGTTGAGAACCACTGCTCTAGCACAATGTAGAAGCTTAAAGAATTCTTAAAAGAATTAATCAGTTTCTTTGTACAGGACTTGACTCATTAAAATAGATATCTCATACTTTATTTTAAAGAAGTATATTTATACCTGAGATGTAATAATAGTTATCTGTCATTTATTAGGTTCTTTGACACCTCTTCCCTATTTCTATCTACTACGATTTCTTCTTGGTTTCCCTCTTCTTCTCCTCACCCCTTAAATGTTGCTTTTCCAAAGGTTCGTTCAGTCCTTCTCTCTATATACCCTCTCTAACATATCTCTTTTATTCCTAAAGTTTTAAATACTAAATTTGAGTGTCAGACTTCTGCTGAACTTAAAAAAATCTGTGTATCTGAAGTAGAAGGCAGCCTTTGGTATTAAGTTTTATCTGATAGGCATTCTTATGATGCTTATTTGACTGAAGTTATCATTTGGAATTTCTGGCCTCATATATGCATGGAGAATTAGATAAAATAACAGATTTATATCACAGTGGGTAAGAACTTGGGCTCTGAGGTTAGTTTTAATAAAATGTGTTATTTGGTCTATAAATTTAATTTCGAGTAGAAATAAATTTGAGGCTTTAGTCCTGTAGACTTAATCTAGGGCAGGGGTGGGCAACCTTTTTGTGAGTGCGTGCCAAAACCAGCAAAATCTCTGACTCAAAATTCTTTTGCGTGCCAACCCTAATTTTTTGAGAACATGTTACGCCTACTTGATATCTCTTAAGGTGTACGTATGTGAAGAACTTTGAAGAAATAATAAAATTCATTCGAGCGACAAAAACACGGTATACTGGTTGGATCTAGGAAGGCAGGGAGAGTTAAGGCAGAGGCATAGAAATTGCTCTTCCCCTCGCTCGTCAATCCATGTCTATGGTCTTAAAGATAACTTGTTATGTAAAATTACTTATTTATCTAAGATGCACCACTGAATTTATCTGAAAAATAAAAAAGTCGATATTAGAAAAAAATTGTGAATGGAAGATTTTAAGAGAGGGTTTCGCGTGCCAGCAAAAGTTACTGGCGTGCCATGTTTGGCACGCGTGCCAGGGGTTGCCCAACCCTGATCTAGAGAATGGTAGGTCAACAATTCTTTACTTCTTTGAATTTTAACACTTTACCAGTGAAATTCCCCTTCCCCCTTTTCTTTCCTGGACTAGCAAGAATATTTTCGTCTAACTCATTTAAAATTTTTACTTTTAACAGAAATTAGCAGAGTACGGAAAGACATGTACAATGACACATTAAATGGCAGTGCGGAGAAGAGGAGTGCGGAATTGCCTGATGCTGTGGGACCTATTGTTCAGTTACAAGAGAAACTTTATGTGCCTGTAAAAGAATACCCAGATGTAAGTATATTTTGTTTTATTCAATATTTTTTCTGTGTACATACTTTGGAATGCGGTATATTTGATGGTAAACACTTTAGCATTGTCAGCCATTTTGAAATAAGTTCATGAGAGGACTAGAGGTGAATAATTTGGCATGGATAACTTTAAAAAATTCTAAGTATGTTTTCATCTGAATGCGGCTAGGTCACTTTTGGAAATGCACATAGTAAAGACTTAGTTTTAGATTTCAAATCAAGGCAAGAGTTACGTAAAGAGCTTTGGCCTGAATGTTCGAGAGCACTAAGTACAACTCTCAGCTCATCTGTGACCTGACCTCAAAGACGCCACAGCCCGGGCCACATTGTCTTTTTAGTAAAATGTGAGTTTGGACCATGTGACAGCTAAGAGCCTGTTCGGCTCTAAAATTTCTATGATAACAACTGTTTGCAACGCATTTTTTGTTCTTTTTAATCCCTTGCTCAACTATTCTCTATAAGCATTTTGTTGCAGATAGCCTCCTTGTTCTGTACAGTTCATTTATAAATAGCTCCAAACTCTTTGCCGTTTGTTACAAAGCCCTACTTGGTATGGTCCTTTCTATCTTTTTGGCCTTATTGTAAATGACTCCCTCTTTTTCAGTACACTCTGTAGTTACCGTGACTCTTCGAACAAGTTGAGCCTGTTCCCAGCCTGACACCTTTCCGTGAGCTGTGCGCTGATGTCTGCTGGCCGGCTTCTTCTTGTCGTTAAGGTTTTAGCTTAAATGTCACTCAGAGAGGCCTCTCCTGAGCATCTGATCTAGAAGCAATCTGGTTGCTCATTGTTTCACATTCAGTTTCTTCCTCTGAAATAGCTTTTACTAGCTGATATTTTTCTTTCTTATTTTTCTTTCTCTACCCAGCAAGGTATTTAAAGGTACTTAACTTGCCGGGAGCCGGTCCATCCTTGCTGTTTCAAGGGACCTGGCATATATGGCATACTGTTCTTAATATTTTTGCTCACCTTCTTGGCACTATGTGTTTTAACCAAGGTCACCTCTCTGAGAAAGGTTGTTTCCCCAGGTAGGGATTTCCCCCTGAAGTTAGGGAGGGAATAAAACCTCTTAACTAAGTGCCAGGCGGGTAATTAATCACTTTAACTACGAACAATCATGCTTAAGCTACATAATCTTTACTCCCTGGAATGGGGGAGACAGAAGAACTTCGCTGGAGAGAACATGGCAAAAGATCCTGGACCGAACCTGGCTACAGAACTTGGTTGGAGAACCTAAACCAAACCTGGCTGGAGAACCTAGCGAGAGAACATGGCTACAGGACCTGGCTGGAGAACCTGGAGAACGTGGCTGGAGAACCCAGCAAGAGAACATGGACACAGAACTTGGTGGAGATTGTGGCTAGAGATCCTGGCAAGGCTGCTGATCAACTGAACGCTGTCCCTGTGTCATTCCTTCTTCGCCGACTCCGTCCACACCTTTGGGGACCCCTGGACCTGCTGGGGTTGGACCCCAGCATTAACTCAAGAACCTGTTTTTGTTATTAATTGCTATTGCAGGTGTGCATGATATTGGACATAATAGGCATCAACTACCTATTGATTAAATAAAGGCAAATTGGTGGCTTTTTGCTAGGTTTTAGAGACTTTTCTGAAATATGAGAAAGAGTTGGCAGTATAAGGTCCGAAATTATGATGTGTAGTGTACTCTTAAAATTCAGTGGTTATATTTACAATATACTAATTGAGAGTGCCGTAAGTTGGAATAATGGAAAAAAGCTTTGATATTTCACAATTTGCTTTTCCAGGACAATTTGTTATAAATTTAGCACATAAGTAATTTTGGTTGCAAATATACAAAAATTATTGATAACATAGGCAAAGAAAGAATTTGGGAGGTAATTGGATGTAGTAAAAAGGATTCGGACGGAATCAGGGCAGCTATGAGAATCTTAGGGAAGACTTCGGACCTTCTCTGTTGCAAGCCTTACTCTTAACATAATTTGGAATCAGTGCCTTCCAGACTTTATCTTACTTTAGATTCTTAGAGAATGTGTTTTGGACCAATCTGCCATGATTAGGGACATGCCCTAGTTCTTGGAATGATTCCTAGAGATGAGAAATTGTGATTTGGGCAGCTGTCTCAACTGAAGTCACCTATTGGTATTTTATTGTCTCCTAAAAGGGGTCAGTCTTCTCATCTGCTTGTTTAGTCATTAACATAGAATTCTTTTAAGACCTTGTTCGAGCATATAACCTTGATCTGCTTGGTCCTCATTTTTCTTTAAAAAAAAAGGGGCGGGGGTCATAACATTGTCTAGATGAGTGGTTCTTAAAATGTGGTTCTAGGACTATGGTATCTAGTTGAATCAGAAACCCTGGTGGGGGGAACCCCAGCAGTCTGCCTTCCAGCCCCATAGAGGATTCTGATGCATTCAAGTGAGAGCAGCTCATTTTATATCATCAGAAGGTGGATAAGCCAAGCAGACAGGTGATGACATGTGGTCCTTTTGCCGGGCTTTTTTCCAGGAGGCAGGTAGAGGGCAAACTAAACAATGTCTCTGCTTTTGTGAAACAGGCATTGCATTCACAGAGACAGACAGTAAGCAAATGAATATTTACTTCAGGTGCAGTCAGTGCTGTGGAGAAAAATAAAGTGGGGTAAGCAGATCCATGGTGAGGATGTGTTTATAGTAAAAAATGGGGGAGTGGGCATGAACATCACCTTGGGGGAGAACATTCCAGACAGAGTGAGCAAGTGCAGTGACTCATTGGCCATAGCATGTTGGGAAGGGTGGTAAGATATGAGGTTACAGAGTACGCAGAGGGGCCATACATATGATGTAGGGGCTGAGGGCTCCAGGAGGGATGTCAGCTACTATCCTGAGGAAAAGGAGAAGACATTCAGATGTTTTGAGCCAAGGAGTGAATGAACTTGGTTGGGTTTTAATAGATTCATTCTGGCTGCTGTGTGGAGAAAGGCCTTTGGGTGATGGTGGCAGGAAGGAGACCAACTAGGGAACAGCAGGGAACTTGAACAAGAGAATTTAGAAATGCTTGGATGCTACATAGATTGTTAACTTAAAGCCAAAGGACTTGTTGACTGAATAATGGGGTGTGAAGGAAAGTCATGAGTAGCTCAGAGGTTTTGACCAGTTGGAGTTACAGGAATTGCCAATTCCTGAGCTAGGAAAGACTGAAGAGGAACAGGTTAAGGAGGTGAGGGTTCAGAGACAGGTTTCTGATTTAGAGGTGTCGAGTTTGAAGTCAGATATCCAGGTACAAGCATATCAAATAGGTGGGTATATGAGTTATAGACAACTCTTAGCACTTCAAAATGTCTATTTTAACAAAGCAGTTTAAATGAGAAAGTTAGTATAATTCATAGGAGCAAAAGTTTATTAATACAAAGCTATTTTGGTTCTCCAGGTAACTTTTTTTAATTCCTTGATTTTAAATTTGTTAAAAGAATTTAAGTTTGGCCCTGGCCAGTGTGGCTCAGTTGGTTGGGCATCATCCAGTGCACTGGAAGGTTGCTTGATTGTAGTACCAGCCTGGGCACGTACCGGTTGCACCTCCATCCTCGATAGGAGGTGTGCAGGAGGCAGCCTATCACTGTTACACTTTCACATCAATGTTTCTCACTTCTCTCTTCCCCTCTCTCTAAAAATCAGTAAACTATTCTAAAAAATAAAAAAAGAATTTGAGTTTGGCAAAATTGGGATCTGCATGTAGTTTTTGAGCTTTTCTTCTTTGGGGTTATTAATACACACCAAAAGAGTAGTATTGTTTTGTGGTATATATTAGGAACTTTATCTCACCTCTAAAAAATATAAATATCAAATAAAACAAAGGAGTCTGTCAGATTTTGGCAGTGTGGGAAAAGATTTATTTCAGAATTATGAATTAGATATTGGCCACTTAAATCTTAGAGGTCATCACATATGCTCCCCCATTTGTATATAAGCTTGACTTTGTGAGTGAATTCATTCCACTTGATTAAAAGTGCTTGTATTATTATTATTAAAGTTTCAAAGGGGCAGTGCTGCATAGTTGTCAAAAGTACGGACTCAGACCTAGACGTCTGGCTGGCTCTGCTATTTGTTTTCTGACTTTGGGCAAATTACTTACCATTTCTGGCCCTCATTTTCCTTACCTCTGTAGCGGAGATCGTAATAGGGTTACTCTTCCATGGGATTATGAAGAGTTAGAGACGAGGTTATGCATGAAAAGCATTTGGAAGATGCCTGTATACTATATAAATGTTACCAGAATGTGAGCTCCTTGACGGTGGGGATTTTGGATATTTTCATATCTCCATTTACCTACCTGGTAATGTGAGGTGGACAATAAATATTTTTTGTGCATATCTTTGTGACAGCTTCATTCTTTGAAATATTGGTAAATCTTTAAAGGAAACTTCTGCATCTGCACATAGCACCTTGTTTATGGCAGTGTTCATTGGAGCTCTGGTTGTGGGCTTGGCTGTGTATAGCTCTGGGGTGACAGGAGAAGAAAGTCTCAGATTCAGTGTTTCAGAAAGGAGGTAGTACGTATAATGTCCTTCACAGTGTTTTTAAATCAGTGGCTTGATGTGGGAATGAGAAGGTGGTATCAGTAGCCCATTGAAAATGTACTCTAGAGGAAAACCAAGATGGTTGCATAGGTAAACACCGGAAATTGCTGCCTCCCACAACAAATTCAAAAATACAACTAAAAGACAAAATGGACATCATTCAGAACCACAGGAAGGCTGGCTGAGTGGAAATTGTACAACTAGAAGGAAAGAGAAAAGCACACAGACTCAGAGGAGGTGCGCAAGTGCAGAGGTACGGAGGCGCATGCGGCAAGGGCTGGCACCTGAGGACACCGCTCTCTTTTGAATCGGGAGGGAGTCACAAGCCCCCGACTGCTCTGAACTCCAGTTCCGGGTAAGTCTTTGGGGACCTAGACTCATACGGGGAGAAGCGGGACTGTCTGGCAGTGGGCAGAACTCGGAAGTTGAGGGCAGCTTTCCCTCAGAGGTG